CTGTCATTCATTTGGGCTTGCATGGCATTCATTTGGCTTTGCATGACAGTGAATAATTTCTGTTGCTGAGCTTTCAGGTCCGTAATGGTGACTAAGTTATTAAAAGTAAACGAAACAGGGGCCCCCGTGTGTTGCGACGTGGACTGCGCATCGGAAGATCCAGGAAGGGGGACACCTACATTACCTTCTACGTCGTCAGCTGACACACCCACCACCTTGCTCTGCAGAGGGTGGGGGAGTGGCTAGCTCCTTTAGGACCTCCTCTTCCCACATTGTGGGCGAACCGATGTAAAATTCATTGGGCTTGTACTTGGGCACAAGCTATCGTCCCCGCTTCCTATAATTCCCTTGCCGAAAATCATCACTCATTACGGAAGTCTACAAGGGAGAGAAAAAAAACTCGCCAGGGGCGGTGAGTATCGACAGTGAGGGCTTTACTCTGTCGTCGCCGACTGCGTTCAACAAACGGGTTTGGAGGCAGGAGTAGGGTCTCCTATACACCAAATAAATTTATGGTTGTACGTGGGTGTTCTGGCTCCTGAAATTGGATAACTTTAACAAGGACATAATCTTCCTGTGGAAAACTTATAAATTTATCAACAGGCTTGCTGACATCTATTTCTATGACACGGGAGGACAACTTGCCTTTGTAAATATCCACGGCTGTGGATTTGAGGGGAGCATCGAAGGCGTTTGAACGCGAGAGATACGGAAAGCCCATACGATGAAAGCCCACCGGCGTGGACCTGCTTGACTACATGAATTGTGCACGTAGATGGAAGAAGGAGTCTTTTGCTTTCGTTGATAATGTAGCCTTATCAGAGTGGAGAGTAAATCCACTTCCTTAATGAGTGGTAATTTCCAGCAAGGCGACTACAGTAAGTGCGGACGGCAGATTGTGCACAAGTACAATCCTGGTGAATATTACATAGGTTCACCCAGAAACTAGGACGAGGGCATCCTACAGAAGCTTGGCACTCCCCCACTATCTCTGCGGAGCAAGGTGGATGTGTCAGCTGACGACGTAGAAGGCAAGGTTAACATGTTTCATTTAACAACTGTAGGTAACCCCACCCCTGGATCCTCCAATGCGCAGTCCACGTCGCAACGCACGAGGACCCCTCTTGCATTGCAGGGATAAATACTTGATAAGTGTTCCATTTACTTATTATTACCTTTTTAGCCACCATTCGGGATCTGAAGGTCTCGCGTCGTTAGAGCGGCGTGCGTTTTGATTTAAGCTCCGCCCTAACAAATAAAAGCACTTCTTCACTACAATGCAGGGCCAAATGAGTGCCTTGCAAGCATAGACAAATGACAGACTGTCTGCGATGGAAGAAACCATTAAACGGTTGACAACACCGCCGACCAGGATGCCGTCATTTGATGGAGAATGCCCCCTTCCGTCGCCACTCCTGACTATGGACGAGTTCGAGTCCTTCGAAGTGAAACTCCAGGACGAGGACTATCGGCAGCAGTCGGTCATATTCATGCTGTTAAAATTAACATTGCCCATTCAGGCTGCCTTCCTATGTACCCTGGGCGGAGGTCGAGTCCTCGATTTCGTAAAAAGGATTTTCGAACCTCTGTTCGGCAACCGCCTGTCGGCTGAATTTAATCTGACTGGCACACATAATCGACGTCACTTCCAGCGTACGCGGTCATACGCACTGCTGGACGGTAGGCTTCACATTAAGTTAACTGTCTTCCTGTAGAGATGTTTGCGACGTGGACTATAGTCCAGCGACCGCCTTCACAAAAGCAAAAGTCTGCTATCAACAGCAGTTTGCTTCTCGTTGGGAGGGAAGCTTTGTCCTCGCCAGCAAGTCTTCACAATAACGCTTTTCTACTTCTCAGGAGGCAGAGCCGGAAGACGTGTTTGACAAAAGCTATGGCACACTGCCCACTGGCGGCGACCATGGCGAAGTCGCCGGTGGCAGTCTAGAGATCGGCCATGATGATCGCGGTTTACTTCTCTTCCCTAATAGCATTGCGCGCGTTAGCGTATTGCGCAAACACGCGCTTCACGCCTGCCTGGTTGTCATTGGCTGGGATAGTTACGTAATCGACAGGTGATTGGCTTATCGATTTTTGTATGCTCCACGGTGGCTAACGCAGTGAATCGCATCTGGATCAGTATTTGGGGCTCCCCTACATCCTTCCATAACGACCGCGGGAGCAACTTCGATTCACAACTTTTTCAGGATGTTTGTGATATTCTCGGAGTACATAAAACATGTACCACTCCCTATCACCCCGAAGGCAACGGGCTCGTGGAAAGCAATAACTCTACACAGCCTCCTCGCCTTCCCTAAGAACGGTAATGAGATAGATTGGGACGTCCAACGTCCGCTGTGTTTGCTGGCCTAGCGGGGCTCTGTCCACTCATCCACCGGTTTCACTCCACCTTACCTTTGGACCGGCCGGGAACTCCGTCTCCCCTCTGACCTCCGCTACCCACTCCCTACCCCCGACCCCACCTCTATCCATCCCTATGCCGCCCAACTGTGTGAAAAAATTCGCTGCGCACACAATGCCGCCCTGAAGACACTGCACTTCCGCAGACCATCAGAAGGACTACTTCGACCGTCGTCTTGTGGGTAACCCTTTCCAGCTGTACGACCTTGGCATGCACAAGACCACCTCTCGTCGAC